TGCCAGTCTGCAAGGGCCAAGAGAACAGCATACATTTCTAAAGTAGCAATCACACGGTGGGACCAAGAAAGCTGGCTGGACAGAGCTCCTGTGCATCCTTGCCAGGAGTTAGGGACGGTGGCCTGCCCAGGTCACGCGTTCCCCCAAGCTTTGGATTGGTTTGGTCCAAGACCATCCTAGAACCAGTCATGAAATCATCACCACCATCCTCGCCCCACAAGAATATAGCCAGTACTTTACACAGAGTCATTAAGAGGAGGGGTCAGACTTGGTCTGAGTAGGAGGAAAGAGCTAGGCCCAGTGGTCTTCCCACCGTGTGATCCAGGGAAGAATGAAGCCAGCATCACTTTCCCATGGCAGCTGCTCTGAGGGGGTGGAAACCTGAACTCCCTCTTCCCTTATCTAGTTGGGACAGAAGAAGGCTCTCTGGGGAGGGAATTATTACCAGTTCTTAAGGGCTCACTCTGGTGTGAAGTTCAGAGCTAGCTGCATCCTTTTAAACTGACCCTTAAATGATTTTATGTATTGTTAATCAGATTGTTTAAAATGAGCTGCTACAAATCACGTTTTCTCAGGAGTTTGTTTGGGCAGACGTGCTGCCACAGACTGTTCCGAATTATTGACAACCAGATAAGAGACCAGATCTTGGGGCCGGAGATTTAGCTCAGTGGTTCTGCCGCCTGCCTCAAAAGCGCAAGGACCCGAGTTCGATCCCCGGTACCAAAAAGAAAAAGAGAGACCAGGTCTATGGATGAGCCTTCATTTGAACTCCAGCTTCTCAGGTTAGCTATGGGATGTTGAACATATTCCTATACTACCGGAACTCCCTCTTTCTCCTGTGTAGCTTGTAAGAGCACCTACCTTAGAGGGTCATGAGACTGAATAACAAGGACCTCAATAAGTGGTGGTTGATATCATTATTTAAGGGTTAGGCTTGCTTGAGGTATACTGAGCTGTATATCCAATGAGACATGTAACTACTGAGCATCTGAAATGTGGCTTGTCTGAATTAAGATGTTCAGGAAGCATAAAATACACATCTGGTTTGAAAGACTTAGTTTGGTAAAAAGAATATAAAAATCACGTTAATTAAGCCCCCCACACCAATGCTGAGGATTAAACCCAGGGCCTCAGGCATTTTAGGCAAGCATCTTAACAATGGGCTGTAGCCTCCATACTTATTCTTTCTGCAATACTGAGGATGGATCCCTAGTCATTTTCATTTCTTGTTTTCAGATAGGATCTCACTAAGTTTCCCAAGCTGTCCTCAAACTTTCTATTCTGCAATCTCAGATTCTCAAGAAGCTAGGATTACAGATATGCACCACCATGCCCATCTCATTAATTAGTTTTTATACTGACTACATATTGAAATGATGACATGTTGGGCAGAGGTTAGATAAGATACACAATTAACATTAATTTCATCTGTTGTTTTTTTTTCTTTTTAAAAGTGACTAGTAGAAAATTTCAAATTGCACTGTGATTCACATTTGTATCTGTCATCAACAGCACTAGTCCAAACCCAGCCTATTCCCCTTCTTGAAAAAGTATCTTCCTGAAAGAGTTAAAGGCATCATATCATAGTATTGCATGCATACCCATGTTTATAGCAGCAAAATTCATAATAGCTAAATCTTGGAAGCAGCCTATGTCTCTAGACAGATGAGTGGACAAAGAAAATGTGGTATTTACACACAATGGAGTACTATTCTGCTATAAAGAAAGATAAATGAGTCATTTGTAGGTAAATAGAGGCACCTTGAGACGATAATGTTTCGTGAAGTAAGTCAGACACACGGGCTTAAATATCACATAGTTTTTCTTGTATGAGAAACCCAAATTATAAATGAAGAGCAAAGTAAAAGATACATAATAGGAAGCAGGGAAATCGATTTTTTTCAAATGGGAACGGAATCAAGAGAGGGAGGGAGGGGGAGGAAAAGGAGGGAAAGGAGATGAATAAAGGAATTAAGATGCATTATGTACATGTACCAACTCCACACAAGGAATGTAAACATTACAAACTAAATATGTACCGGTAAAAATTCAAAAAAAGAAAGAGGAAGAGAAGGAGGAGGAGGATTAAGCAATGGGAAAAGCATGAACTTTGCACTCAGAGAGACTGAGGGACTGAACAGGGTGGTGCCACTTCCTGGAGGCTATCAAAGGAGCCACTTAAACTTGGTGTACCTCCACTGATACCTGTAAAATGGGAGGAGCAAAAATTGCTGCCACAAAGGAATTGTTTTGAGGCTTAGGTAATATCGGATACAAATAAAGTGCTTAGCTCAACCCTAGGCACAAAGTAGGTGCTGAAACAAATGGAGGTTTCGGCTTTTGCTGCATGTTAGGATCATTTTGTGTGCAGAAGTAAGCTAAGCAGATCTTGGAGATAAATAAATGCCAGTAACTGTCATTTGTTTAGCACTGTTTTCACTGGATTTGAACTTCAGAACACCTTAGGAAGCATGGGCAGCTCCTTAGAGTTGAGGAAACAGGCTCAGGAACTCCTCAAGGCCTGGTAGGAACTAGCAGCAGGCCTTCTGTCAGCTTTTGAAACTTTCCAAGCCTCCAAGGTGTATTTCTGTTTGTTTCCAGCTGGGTGGCTTACAGGCATTTAGGACAACCCCACAACCTGCAGGGCCAACCTTCCCTGATGGAGCTGGCAGAGTGCTGTTACTCCCCTCACGCGCACCAGGAAGACCTGAATGGCAGGAAGAGTATTACGGGACTTCAACACTTTTTTTTTTCCAACTTAGTGGAGAGCTAATGTTGACATCTGTGACATGAAGAGGTAGCTCATAAAGCCATGCCCCCTGGACACCTTAGCAGTACTCACATTCCAAACCAATATCACACCTGCATATAAGGAGCAACAGGGCCCATGGGAGACATTCATCCCACAACCTCATTTGCAATTTGTTGTAAATTAATATATTACAGACCTTCCCACACCAGCATAATCAAAATATATCATAAATGTTTAAATTTTTAAAGTTTATTACAATAAAAGGCACGTTGTCATTAACCCCTCTCAAAATGCTCCCCCTCACTTCAAAGATCCTTATCCCATCATTCTTGCCGCTTTCTGAAGCAGTTCTGAAAGTCTTCTTTCATGAGTGGCTTTCAATGCCCCTGTCAAGTGCCATCCCAGGCTTGTAAAGACATTCATTGGATCTAACACTGCGTGACTTCTGGCTCTTCCCCAAAGTCAAAATGATCATGAAAGGTAAATGTTTTGAATTGATTCATGACATTGAGGCAGCCACAATGGCAATGTGTCTTTTACTGTAATACATTTCTTAATTTAAAAATTTGCTATATTCTTTAATCACACCTTACAAAGTGCTACCTCATTCTTTATATTGATACACATTATTCTATATTATGAGGGGTTTTTCATTTCTTTTCTTTTCTTTTTTCTGGTACCAGGGATTGAACTCAGGACCTTGCACTTGCCAGGCAGGCATGGCACCACTGAGCAACACCCCTGGCATCCCTCAAGTAGAAATATGCTGGAGACAAATGGTTTGTCCATCGGAATTTTATAGATTTTGATAAACTGTTCTCTAAGACACGTGTATCAATTAGGCTTCCCCCCAGCAATGTATGAAGTGACAGTGTGAAGTCCCCCACACCATCAGTACGACCAAGTATCTCATGATAATAAATCATTGTGGAAGAAGCCAAGAGAGGGTGAGAAGGCAGCTGGAAAACCAGTCAGCAGGCTGGGGCAGCTGTCCAGAGAAGAGATGATAGGTACCTGAACTGGCACAAGAGAAAGAGAGGAGAGGATAGAACCCAGAGCCAGTGTGGAGGTCAAATCAAGGATTCCCCAGTTTATGGTTTGAACAAATGCGTACACAATGGTTGTATTTCCTGAGATGCTGAACCAGAAGAGGAATAGTCATAGTAAAGGGAAGTGATTTTAGCTGAGAACATATTGAGCTTGACATTCAGGACATTCTGATAGAAGAATCTACTGGACCAGAGAGGAAAATTGGGGGGCGGTGAATCATTTGTGGAAACCATGAGTATGCCTGAGCTCTTGCAGAGATGGTGGGTAGTTGGATGGGTGGATGGATGGATGGATGGGGGGTGGATGGATGGATGGATGGGAAGATGTGTGGATTGGCAGGTGGATGGAAGAATGAATAAATAAATGGGAAGATGGATGAGTGAGTGGAAGCAGAGAAGGATGGATGGGTAAATGGACAGAAAGACTCACAGAAAGCTAGATTTTATTATATTTATATTGAACTATTTAAAGTTTGTTTTGTTATTTAAAAATGATAAAATCCTTGACTTTATGCAGGCTAAAGTATTTTGGGGGAAGAATGCTCATGTCTGCAGTTTACTTTGAGATACATAAGAAATAGGATTGATTAATGGGTGCAAAGTGAGGTGAATATGTGATAGAGTAAGCATAATAATAGTGTTGGTGGTAGAAACTATGCAATAGATATATATGTGTTCAACAGTAAAATTCTTTCAACTTTGCTCTGCATCAGGAATTTCCATAATAAATTCATGTGGGGTGTTTTCAGTGGTAATTATTGGCAATTTCACATGGTTCCACCTAATATTTATTTGACTTGGCCAGGTGATCCTTCCAGGTTCCCAATCTGTAACATCAACAGACGGGGCTGCAGTCTCCTTTGGACTATCCTGCCCAAATTTGGGGGCCAAGAGTCAACATTTCTCCCTCCTAGAGTTCAGATTGAACTGCCCTAATGTGCTGATTACTGCACTGAGCATGCCAGTAGCTGGCTTGTAATAATTATAGATTTCCTCTGCGATTTGATCCCATTGGTTGCCCAGGCAACGGCGTAATAGCTCAACTGAAGTGCTGTCACAGTGATTTAGAACCAACACATCTCTCCTGCAGACTCCAGTCTGGGTGCCTCCCCCCTTTTTGTTGTCGTCATGGCAACTGATGAGCAGCACGTGACCAAAAGCTCTGTATCACCCCCGGCCCCTCCTTCCTGTGATCATTTCCATTTCCTCTTCTGGGCCCCTCCAGGACAGGCATTAACCCCAGGCTTAGGCTGTAAATGGGGGAATAATTGATCCCCAAGGTCACTCTCTATCCCTGAAAGGGGGTTAAGGAGACCTTAGAGCCAGAAGAGCCCCAGAAGTCTTGGAGATGACTCGGCGCCCTTCCGGGCCCCTTCATGGCTAGGGCTGGATCGGCTGAGCAGCTGCCACAAGTCCTAGGGAAGCCGGTTAGGCTTTCTGCTTGTTCCTCCAGGGCTTCCTGAGACTGTCAAAAATCTAGGCGGAGACCCCTAGAAGGGGAGAGGGGTATGGAAAACCCTATTTTAGGAGCTCTAACATCATGTGGCTTATTGTGGTTTAAGCTGTGTTGTTTTCCCTCTTTTATCTCCTTTTGAGGCTTCTGTTTCTCTTTGTTTCCATGTACATCTTTCCATTTCTGTCAGGAAAGCCCTCTCTTTCTAAATCCATCTTCAATCTATCACTCTCTTCCTTCCTCCTCCACTGTCTCTCTCCATCCGTCTCCCTCACTAACTTGCTGGGCACCAGCTGAGCCTGGCCTTTCCCCAAACCTGCTTTGCTTCTGAGGAGTGCTTTTTTTCCTCTCGTGCCTGAGCCCCTATTCTGGGGGCTGCCTGGAAGTCAGGACCACCCTCTGGAGGCAGAAGCTGGTGCCCTGCAGCACCTCTGAGAATGAGCCCAGCTGGCCTTGCCCCTGGGGTTCTGCAGGATGGCGTAGAGGACTCAAGTTAAGCAGGAGAGCTGGGCTGGCTTCAGGACCCTGGCTACAGGCACGTGAGTGTACACGTGTGTGTGTTTATGCATGTGTGTCCTCACATGTTTGTGTCTATCTGCTGGTGTAGGGAAGTGTGTCTCAGTGTGATATTGGTCTGTGCAAGTATATGTGTATGTGTGTGTGTGTGTGTGTGCTCGCGCATGCCCATGAACATGGTGCAAGCACACTTGTGCATGGATTTTTGCATAAATTGTGCAAGGCAGATTTTTCAAGGATGCTTTGTAGGGAGGGCTTAGCCTATGAACAAAATAAAGACAGATATAAAAATGATAGATAAGTAGTTTGCTTTTACCGGAGGGCTTGCAGAAATGCTACCTATACCTTTCTGGCCCCTGGAAATGAAGTGAGGGTCACCTTGAAAAGGCATTTTTACTCAAGCTCCAAAATAAATCCTTCCCTTCAGTTCTCGGGGCTAGAACAGCACACACATCCTGTTCTCCTTGGAATGGCCAGGAGCAGGAGGCTGAGGGGGCACCGTGCACAGGCATTCTCAAAAGAGTGTGCAGGAGAATCTCAATTGATGACCTGGAAGGCTGATGCCAAGAGCGGATAGGAGGCAGCTTTGGCGATCCGCTGCCCGACATCTTGTGGTCAATTAGAAGTTCGTTTTGAATTTTCTTTTTTTTACAGAAACAGTCCAGGCCCCAAGAGGCAGCCAGAAGAAAACAATTTTAGAAAATAGAATTTCATTTGTGGGGCAAGATGTAGGAATCCTGGCAGCTTGCCCACTTAGATCCTGCCAGAGGTCTGCGAGCTGGCAGCCAAGTCACCCCTGGAAGGGAATCCTTTGTGCCCAGCCTGTCCCTGGACACTGGGGACACTTGGCAACCAGTCGCTCTGGGTGCATGCTGACTGGCACGGGCACTGCCCCAGACACCCTGGGAGAGAAGGCAGAGCCCATGCAAGCACCAGACTCAGGAAGCGTCTCCGAGAGGAGCAGACCCAGGCCTGTGGGAGCAGCCATGCTCAGAGGCATTGCTGCTGCTTGCCTTCCCTCCAGGATGCCATCTTACTTCTCCTGCCCTGGACTCTTGTCATGGCATCAGTGTCCATGGCCAGAGGTCTTATCTTGGGGTGGAGTCTGGGGGTTAAACTCAGGACCTACACACTGAGCTACATCTCCAGACCTTTTTTTTTAAAGACAGGATCTCACTAAACCTCTAAGTTGCCCCAGCTGGGTTCAAACTCATAATCCTCCTGCCTCAGCCTCCCAGAGTGCTTGGATTAAAAGCATGCGCAACCACACCTGGCCGGGGTCTAACCGTCTTTAAATTCTTGCCCTTATTGCTTCCAGGAAATCTTTAATTTCCATCCATGTTCAGCTAACGCTGTACACCCTCCTCTACCTGCCCCAAACACCGTGAACCCCCAGCATTGCACATCATACAGACCTCTTTCCCCACATTTACCCGTGTGCTTCCATTTATTTTCAAGAACTTCAAGAGAAGTATGAAGACAAAATACACGCGAAGCCATTGACCTAGATTCTTAAAATGTTAATGCCTCTCTGTTGTCTCAACTGGAAAAGGGGTGTGACCAGGCTCTCCTGTGCAGAAGATTAAAGCAAACAATCTGTACCCGAGGACAGGTAGTGGGCATTCAAAAAGTTTCAAGCCTACAGAAAAGTCAGAAGAACAGAGAGGCAGCGCCAGACTCCAGTCCAGGGCAAAACCCATGTTTTACCTCCAAGCCAGTCATTGAGAAATGTTAAAATAAACAGCCCTGCACCACCACAAGAAGCCCTCAGGGCTGCATGTGAGTGACTTGGGCTCTTTGCTGCGCTGTCGAAGTTAGGAGGACTGGATGCAGAGGCGCTCTGTGTTTGTATCCTGGCTTAGCAACCTCAGAGCGGTGTGACGTTGGGAAAGTCACATCACCTGTCTATGCTTTCTTTCTTTTTCTTTTTCTTTCTGCCTTTCTCTTTCTTTCGTAAGAGTGGATAATAATTGTATCAACTTTCAAGACTTCTGAAAGGGAAGGGGATTTAGCTCAGTGGTTCTGCCGTCTGCCTCACAAGCGCAAGGTCCTGAGTTTGATCCCTGGTACCAAAAAATAAAAAACAAAAAGACTTCTGAAAATTTAAGCATGGTACTGTATGTAAAGAATTCAAAACAGGGTTTGGTCCAAAGTAAGTGCCCCTGAGGTGTGTAATCCCTGCTATGGCATTGCTACAATTATTATATTTACTGCTGTGTATAACCATAGTACCCCTACTTGGCCAGGGATGGGTAAACCTAGAGAATCCTCTTCTCTCCTCAAGGGCAGCTTCATGGGTTTGCAACCTATGTGATCACACAGGACCCTCACGTTTGGTTTATTGCTCCACTGTCACTGACTTGCAATTCTGAGTCTTTGTTTGTTTGCTTGCTTGTTTTTTGTTTGTTTGTTTGTTTGTGACACAGTCTCATTATGCATCCCAGGCCAGCCTTGAACTCACTATGTAGTCCAGGATAACCTCAAACATACAATCCTCCTGCCTTACCCCCCTCTCCCCCCACAAGTGTTGTCTTAGTCATTTCTGATAAGGATCTGGGGTGTCCACTTTTCATACTGGGTCCCACAAATCCTGCAGCCAGTCCCATCTGTGCTCTCTGCACTGTTTGTTGCTGCACCATTGCTTCAGATGGGACCAGCAGATCAGAGTGCGTGCTGCATTGAGCCTGCCAACCCCGACCCGCTGTATTAGCTCGCATGGTCTGCTGCAGTAGCCACTCATGGTGGTGGGTGGTTCTTGAGATGGGGCTGGTTCTAACTGAGATGTGCTGTGTGGTCTTGAAGACTTAGTATAGAAAGAATTAATATGTAATTTTATTATGTTTATTATGTGTTGAGATTATTCTATTTTTAGAATCATTAGTTAAATCACACATATTATTAAAATTGTGACTGTTTTTACTTTTCTAATGTAAAACTACCGTGTGGCTTGCATTATATTTCTGTTGGGCAGCTCTACCTTACACTAAAGTCCCTGGGACTTCATCATGACCCTAACCAGACCAACAGGTAAAAACCTTGTGGATCAGCTTCCGGGTGACTTAGCTGTTCTGCAGCCCCAGTGCTCTGGAGTAACCTGAGCTTCCCAAACAATCTACCAGGCACCTTTCTCTGGTGGCACTTTCCTTTCCCTCTGCAGAACTGGGGCTTGAACCCAGAGCTTTCACACTGACTACAACCCCAGCCCTTTTTAAAACCTTTCATCCGTAGACAGGGTCCTGCTATGTTGCCCAGACTGGGCCTGAACTTTCAATCCTTGTGCCTCCTAAAGTGCGGGATCACAAGAGTGCACCTTCACACCCGAGTTCCTTTCCTCCTTCAGATGCCCTGAGACACCGATTTATTTGTAAATGCAGAGAGTTTGTCGAGTGGATTAAAGATGCTTGCCAGGCAGCACCATGAATGGAAAGAATACGGAAGTTAGAATCAGAACTAATTTAGGACTTAAATTAAAAATCCTCAACCACCTCTGTCCAAGGAGCAGACCTCAGGCATGTTACTTAACCTCTCTGGGCAGAGAAGCAGAATAGCACTAGCTTTAGAGTCTCAAAGACCAGGCTTTGAGGCCCGCCTCTTCCACTGACAAGCTGAATGACACAGGGGGAGTCACTTCTCCTCTTTGAACTTCAGTCTTATCCATGCTGTAAGGCAGATGGTGCCTACCATGTAACACTATTGCAAAGATGGAGCAAGACGAAACTGAGTGAATCCCTGGCCTTGCCACTGGCATGTGGTGAATGGGCCCTTAACCCCTGAGTTGCAACAGGATCATTGGTTTATAGGGAAGCACAAAAATCATACTCTTCGTGGATCAAGTGATATATAATACATAGACAGATAGATGTACAATATATCTGTGGAATTAAATGTTCAGGGGAGGATTTGTCTAAAAAAGAATCCAGAGAGAAGTGATAATGAAAAAAAAGAGGATGAGAAACACCATACTAATCTGATAAGCAAGACTCAGAGACAGCTCTTCAATTCTGATTTCTGTGGCTGGCAGAAAGAAGGACTAGAATTCCATTATGGACTCTAACAAGTATTTCCTGAGCACCTACCTTTGTCAGGCACCATTCTAATGGCCCCTGCAGCATGGTCTGGAGCAATCAGTGCCCTCCAGGCATATGCTTTTCCTTCCCTCCTTCTGTCCTTCCCTCCTTCCTTCCTTCATTCCTTCCTCCCTTTTTCACACTGTACTGGGCATTGAACCCAAGGCCTTTGTCCTGAGCTACATCGCCAGCTTTTTTTTAATTAATTAATTTTATTGGTACATTTTAGGTATACAATTCATTTACATTTATCATTGGGTACTTGTACCTGTACATGATGTATCTGGATTCTTATTTTTTTCCCCATTACCTGTGCACCCTTTACCCCCTCCGCCCTTCCGTATTTACATAGACTTTGTTTCCTTTTTTTTTTTCTTTTCTCATAGTTTTTCCTTTCCCT